CTATTGCCATAGTTATATCTTAAGATAAAAACAGCGACAAACTCTAAAACATTCCCAATAAACAACTTATGATAAGATCTGTCTTAAGTTGGAATTCGAAAATAAGTTTTTCTGTTATCATGGCATTCATTTAAAAAGCACCGTAAAAGCAAGGTATCTTCGTAAATATAAGCCAAGAGCACGAGAGGCTTTAGTTGGCTGACAAATGTGTAAGGTGGCTGATAACTGAATACAAAGCTGAAGAAAAGTACACCCTATTTTTGAGATAATTCTCCAATTTCGATTAGAATATTTTATTGATAATCGAAGTGTGGTTTGAACGGATCCGCAAACTATGGGCCCGACAGACTCTAACATAGCTTACAGTCAAACGTGATTCATCAGTGAACCAGATAAACAAACTAGACAGGCGATTCGACTATAAAGCCCAGCAGATCCAAAATTTTTGTATCTGTACTCATAATATTCTCAATAAAGTTTTCTAATCCGTCATGATGGTCCCTCCGAGATATGAGATACTTTTTTCATTTATTTAGATTTAGCAGCTAGCACTGCCTACACATTTCTCAGATCATCTTGACAGCAAATCTATTAGAATGTGATCATAATTGACTTTTACTTTGAGAGTAGCCAATGTCTGACCAGCCTGAACGGATTTTTTTTGTCTATCTCAAAAACTGAAGTCTATGCTTGTCGTAGGTACTTCACGATTGATATGTGAAACCGAAGCCTAAATCTTATTAAAACAATATTCCTACGAGAATAACTGTAAAAAAAAGTATAGGCCCGAGATCATCTGTCCTTTAGTCTACAATCGTATCTTTCGAAACGACAATATTTTCGAGTATATGATAATAAAATTTTTGTTTTTTTCTTACCTCAAAAACAGTTTTAATTGTTTGCATTGTATTTTCTCGATTTTTACAATTAATTAAACCATGATCATTCGTTGCACGAACAAACCATTATTATTGATTCGAATACCTGAAAAAAACTAAATATTCGGTAGAACTACAGAAGAACGACACTCTGCATTAATTGTTGTAATTGATAGAGGCACATTAAAGAGTGTGGAGTGGATGTCACCCTTTCATTCTTCTACAGTTGTATCGAATACCAATAGTAAATAAAGAAGAACCTCCAAAATGAAGAGATGTCGCCTATTTTCTACCGAATTAATTTAAAGTATAGCGCTAGTTTTATCTTCTTTGTAATTGAAGAACAATGATCCAATGTTAATTTATTTTTAAATTAACAAATAAAAAAAGAATTTTTTAAAATAAGTTTTCATTAATGAGAACTTTCAACAATCAAAATAATACTGAATTAATTTTCTAAGATCTTAATTTTTTGCATATCTAAGACAACATTTGAAGAAAGCAATTCTTATATTGTTAATGAAAATGTTTTTATTTTTTTGAAACAAATTAAAGAGAAAAGCCTTTGAAGTGATAAATAGTTTTCGAGTTGGGACTATGTGGGCCAAAATCGACTATAAATACCCTAAGAAAAATTTAAGCCCTTAGATGATGGTTGCGGTGATACTACAGTTTTATGGAATTTTTTAAATGAATGCCGTAATAACAGAAAAGCTGATTTTCGAATTTCGACTTGAAAATTTACTTAGAGATAGGACTTAACGATAATAGAGTCAAATTTTGTCGCTATTTGTGATTATAGCATGTTGTATACATCGTTCACATAAACTGGTAAATTTTATATGCTTATGATAGAATTGGAACAGATCAAAAGACCTAAAACTTTCACAATAGACTATTCTCTTTAAGGCCATTCTCCAGTCAAATTCGAAAATCAATTTTCTTTTATCATGATATTTATTTTAAAAACCATACTGTAAAAGTGAATTATTTCAGTAGCAATAAATTAAGGACATGCGCTCTTTTCAGGATATTCAAAACTCATTTGAGTATATTCTAAAGCGATTAATCAGTTGAAGAACTTGCGTTGTAAGAAAGTTTTACTTTAAAAAAACTAGTCATGGGGTGGTTCCAGTTGGTTGTATTATTTAAAATGTAAAATTTATTACGAAAGTGCTGCAATTGGAGTTGATTTACAATTAGATATACATTAATGTCAATATGAATTTAACGATAAACAATGTTATTAGATGTTTGAAGTTGGATTTTTTTGCTCGAATGAAAAAGAGTACAAGGGTCTGTTTTACTTAGCATGTACAATGCTGAATTTTTTGAATAATGTAAGCAGTTTAAGATGCTAAAAAGTAGTTTTCATACGGTCGATATTTTTCCTTCAGTTGAGAAGCTTTAATAATTATCATCAAATTTTAGTTGTGGAGAAGAATCAATCGAACAGAGATTTCTCACTTATTGAATTTTCCATACACATTTGTTATCAACATACCCGACCGTCCATAGAAGCAATATCTCACGAGGATAGATTGCAACAGTAGACGTTTGTCACAATATAAGACTTATGCGAGTGGATCGCTGATCTGAAGCAGTAATTATGGTTAATTTAACAAAGGTAAACTCATACTTGGACAATGCCCGAATTCATACCAAATAATTTTAATGAACTGTAATAGTCACTCAGGCATAATAAACATCAAGCATACAGCTATAGAAAGTCAAGAAACTTATTCAAGACAATAAAACGACTTATCTGAGATCAATTATTACTATGCAGTAGTGTCAAACCTGAAAGTTCAATTCAACTTTTGAAGACCTTTTCAGATATTCAACTATTAAATTATTGAATAATTGAAAGCAGAAAACTGCTGACGAAAATTGTGCTAACAAAGTTGTTGTTTTTTTAGTGTGAAAACCAGGCTATTGAATGAGTTTCTGACATTTTATAAAACATTACTACATAGAATGTTCAGAACCAGTCATTGTTGCTAACTGAGGACGGAAATATTATCACCTGAAATCTCAAACTGGGTGTGGTTGTGGTTGAAACCGACACCCACACGCACCACACCCACACCCACCCACACCCGAGTATGGGGAGGTTTTAGTGACCCTACACATAGTGAAAAGGTACTATTTTGGGATTTTCTCACCAATGGTTTAGATTATGATTGATCCAATGTCACCATTAGATAGAGCGCGCCGGGTTATACTTGGAACCGAGCTGGAACACTTGGAACACGCTCCTGGACGAATATGGGAAGGTTTTAGTAAGTAGGTTTGCCTTTTCGCATAGAAAAGGAGCAGCATTTGGGATTTTTCTGATGATTGGTTTGGACTATGAAAAATCCAAGGTGACCATTAGATAGCGCTCGTCGAGTTCTACTTGGAACCGGTTTGGAACACGTTCCTGGACGAATATGGGAAGGTTTTATTCGAATATGGAGCTAACTTCACCTACGTGTCTTGAACTGAATAGCGAACCAAAAGTTCTTGATATTCTTGAACACGTTCGTGTCTTTGATAAGATGATAATAAATATGGTACCCATCTTGACGAAATGTTAGTCATATGTAATTGATCAGGTAAAATATCATCCACTGTACGGGTTGAAATGCTTCCGATGTCTGCTATTCGAAAATCTTCGATAATTAGGCTTTCAACAGCTTTAATAGTTACACTGACATAGTAAATCAAGTGTATGTAAACACATTTCTTGGAAAAAGAAATTGTTTTTTTTGAATATCTATGATAAATAATTTTTATATAGAGTTTTGAAGTACTTTTCACGATCGATCTATAAGTATAGAATTCTTTCTTGTTTGTCGTAAGTATCAAGTGCATTACGTCAAGAAACATGTGCAAAGTTTGCCAGTCAATGATTGCTTTGCATATGCTTAGAAAGTCAAACTTGTTTACAAGTCCTGGACTTGTAAACTCCTATTAAAAAATCATTTACAAATGAAAAAAATTGAATATTAAGTATAGTTTTCATAATCATTTTCTTCCTTTGTCTACGAACAGTTCATCAAAATTCAATTGGACTCATTTCCTCAGACATCGTTACTGGTTCTTTGATGTATTTGGATTTCTTTTACCATTGTTCCAAGAAAAATGCATCATTAAAATAAGATTCAATGCATTCTTATTTTCATTCATCTATTTTAACACTCAACCTTTTGAAATCTATAATTTTTCGAGACCATAGTAGAAATTTATAGGATATTTTTCACCAAATCGATATGTTGTCAATGAATATGCACACAGTGAATATGCATGCTATTTTTCGAATCAAAAGTAACTTAGTCATTAGCGTTAGAATATAATGTTCTAGTTTTAATCTAGCTGATGTTGTTTTTTGAAGGTATGTGGCATATTAGCTAATTGGTATTCGTTATATTTATTGAAGTCTACTCCTTGTCGTCAAATGTCAGTGTAGTGAGTATCTTTTTTTCTGATATGAATAAGTATGATGCTATTTCATCGAGATAATCAAGACCAATGAGTCCTATTCAATTCTTGTTTCAGTTGTTGCAAATCATCATTAACAAGAAAAAAGGAATTGTAAGATCAATATATGAATTTATGATTCTCTCATTCTAACTCCATCCTAATAATCGTCAATCAGTTAGGTACCTTAGGACAATTTCTTTGGAAAACATCTTGTAAAAATCGAACACATGAAACCTATGCATCCCACTATTATTTCTCAAATACAAGTTATATTACTTATTCATAAGATCATTGTGGGAAAGCAGTTGATTTTTATTATAAAAAATGATATGCTTCCTGTCCGATTGACTTAAATCTTTAGAGAAAATGAAGGACGGCATGAAATTGTGTATAATATTTTTTCCATATTACAATAGATATCATAATTTTCTATAGCAGACTAAGAAAATTTTCTAGGTTATCTTTTGTTTTTGTTTTTGACGTTTATTATATTACAAGTGAATATCTTGGTATTTTCGAACACAGACTACTTTTATTGTTTGAGTACTATGATATTCTTTTCTCTCCTTCTTATTTAGATAAAGGAATAAACAACACCATTGAGACTACTCATTTACTTATTCTGCATAGCTTTCAAGTAAGCTGAAAAAAACAGATATGCCAACTAATACAACAAATTTGATCTTATCACTAAACAATATGTCAACACAGTTAAATCGTTATTGTTCAATATTTATTTTTATTTTTGGTGTTCTTGGAAATATTCTTAATTGTATTGTTTTATCTCAACGACCACTTCGAAAAAATCCATGTTCATTTTTCTTTCTTATATCATCAATGGCAAATCTTACTTCTATTTTATCTGGTTTAACAACACGAA